TTCATTTCTGTAAGCAAGGACAAACATATGGTAGCAGTTTTGGGTAACTAAAGAATGTTTTACAGCCATGACCAAGTACACAAATGGCCAAGCCCAAGCATCTTTCTCTAGAAAACTGTGACCTCATAGAGATAATCTTATGACTTCTGGCCAGCGTTGATCTTTGTGGCTTTGTGGCAGGCGACTTTCCCTTTCTGTTTTAAAAGAATGAACTCATTAGCAAGAAATTGGTAACAGAATGAGCACAGCTGCTGTCACCCAGCCTTTTCTTTTTCTTTTTCTGTATGGCTGGCCCGTGAGGGGATCTGAATCCATGGCCTTGGGATTATAAGGCTGCCCTCTAATCAGCTGAGCTAACAGCCAGTCTTTTTTTTTTGTTTTTAATTTTAAGTCTATCTTTCAAATAGGAATAATATTTAAAATGCTAATTGATGGATCTTGGACGTGACTGGGGTCATTGTGCACACAATAAGTACAAAATCACCACCGGCCTTGTCTTCCACTCCATCACCAAACCCCTCCCCACTTCTCCTTATGAGAAACCTTGTGACTTCTGCAAAACAGAAACCCTTTTGCTTCTGCAATGGCGCAGTTATCAACCCTAGTCACATAACTTCCGCATTAGCATAATGCCCCTCCTTGATTGTATCAGTCCATATAAGCTCTCCCTCTCCCCACATCTGGGGCTGTCTTCCACTTTGAGCGCAGCCGGGCAGATTCTTTTCCTTTCATAAAGCTTGATTGGTACCCAGCATCTTGGCTCACTTTCTTTCACTAATATTAACTCATATTCGTAATTACTAAAATATGCCAAGATTTTTCAATAATCTATGCACAGTAAACACTAAGAAGTTGACAGACTTTTTCCCCCTTAACTTTTTCTCTTTTTTTTTTTCTTTTTTGTTGGTCACTAATGGGTAGAGCTAACCAAACCCTTGACCTTAGTGTTATAAGGCCTCTTCTAACCAACTGAGCTAAGTGACCAGCCCCCCTTAACTTTTTATTCTCAAACTTATAGAAAGGTTGAAAGACTAGTCCAATGATCACCAGGAATCTCACCAACTAGATTCAATAATTCCACAATGCTTTTGAAATGTATACAATGAGCACAAAGAATCTATAATTAGTGCACTCTAAGGTTTAACAAAGTCCTTAATTTGGCTGCACTGTCAGTGGACAATGGGAGCAGAATTATGAGCAGCACACATGAGTAGGGGCCTCACTGAGGGACTATGAGACTTGCATTGCCAGAATCACTGGAGCCATCTAATAATAAATGAGGTCATGTAAGGGAAAAGCGAGCTAACCTCAGTGTCCTCATGCAGTGGAATTTCTAGGTACATCAGTGCAATGGGTTTAAAGGTCTTGTTTTGTTGAAACATAACCAAGGTTCATGTTCTAGTTTCAGGAAAATAGACTAGGAAAGATTTTTGGACAAACTTGAGGAAGATAAAAATACCTTCCCAAGGTTAAAGGAGGACTGGCCAGTTAGCTCAGTTGGTTAGTGCACCACCTTATAACACCAAGGTCGACTGTTTGGATCCTCATACTGGCCAGCAACCAAAAACAGACAAAAACAACACAAAATTTAGGTCGGCCTATGGCTCACTCGGTAGAGTGCAGTGCTGATAACACCAAGGCCACGGGTTCGGATCCTATAT